TTTTGTTTTTCTTAATATTTATGCTTTTTTAGATACAAGATATGTTGTTTAACCGTTTTATTACATACATTCATATTATATGTTTATCTACTATAACTATATAATATCTATTATGTGTATTTTTATACATACATACATAAGTATGTGTGTACGGTTTGGAACTAAAAATTTTTTTTTTAATTTTTTATGAAAATTTATGGCACTTTTGTTTTTTTTTTTTCTTAGAAAAATCATTAAAAAAATATGTCACAAATATACATACATATGTATGTATGTAGTTTATTTTAATTATATTATTAATAAATTTAATTTATTTAAATTAAAAACTTTTAATTTTTATATTTTATAAAAAAAAATTTTATTTTAAAACGTTCAATATATTTTTTAGAATACTTTTATTTTTTTTAACGATATTTAATGCTATAATTTAATTTTATATTTGAAACAAAGAAAATAAATTATTTATATAACTTGTATGGATGTATGCTTGTGTGTATATTTATTGTTATACACGAACAAAACATGTGTATACATGTGTATATTAAGAATGATATATGGGGAACCGTATTGAACTAAATATGTACTTTTTATTTAAAAAACATAAAAACACGAAAACAAAAACTTTTTCATATGAGTTTTCTATTTGAGCTAGTTTTTTCTGTAGAGAAAGAAAAAAGACTTGTGTTCTGCGCTGTTGAAAATATGATTGAAAATTTTATTTTAATTTTTGTGATTTTTTTTCTTCTCTTAATAATATTTTTCCAAATACGTTATGTACCAAATTTACCTACCTAATTTATTTTACTATGCTCTCTATATGTACATAGCTATGGACATATTATAATTTTATATAGTGTACTAAATACTCTTTCAGAGAGAAGAAAAGAAAAAAGAACACAAACATTGCTCTTTTATCTCTTTTTCTCTAAATTAGCTAGAAAGGGAGAGAAGGATATTGTACATCATTTATATACTAAAAAAAAAAAAAAAACATAAAGTAAATAAAACAAAAAAAGAACGGGAATTTTTGTTTTTAATTTTTCTTTTGTGTTCATGCAACATAGGTGGGTAATCATGATTATATTATATACATACATATGTAATATGTAAATATTTTATCTTTTACCTATACAAAGTAATGAAATTTTTTTTTTTTTTATGAGAAATTTTCGGATGTATAGATGTGTAAATTTCTATATTTTTATTATTTTTCTTATTAAAAAATACCAATCAACAAAATATTTGGAAAATACGATGTACATAATAATATGTAGGTACTCTTTACTAATGTACTAGGCAGGCAGCCAAACATTTTTTTTAAATGAAAAATAATAATGAAGAAAAGAAAAAAAAATTTGTTTTGGAAACGTTTTATAAATTTTTTTTTTTGAAAATGCTTTAAAAAATTGTTGCATACAAACATAAACGGGTTTTCATTATTTTAATTTAAATTTATTTTATATGCATTGCAAATGTCAAATTAAGCCAATTGTACTGCGTTTAATTCACAGCCAATTTGTCTTTATTTACAGAAGCCAAGCGTTTTGACGTTTGTACTGCAAATCACTTGACTTCTGTATTGCGTCATAGTGTATTATTTAAATTGATTTTAGAAATTTACTTCAAAAAGTATAACTTCCTTAAAAATTAATTTTGGATTTCAGAATTCAACGTTTGAAACATAATATTTGCCTATTCAAAATCAATTTAATATTTTAAAATGTGACAAATTGAATGATAGTATTTCTATCATTTCAACTTTAAGCTTTCAAACACTTGTCATCTGTCAAATTTTTATTTATAGTATTTATTTGCTATTATTTTTTTTTGTCAATTTAAATATAATCTTATCGTTTTATCTGTTAAATATATAACATCTGACAATTTTTGTTTAAGAAAATCAATTTATTGTATAAAACTATATCTAATCACACAAAATTATTATCATAGATAAAAATCAGATGATTGTCAAATATATAATTTATAATTATTAAAATATGTTATAAACTGCGGAATATTATGAAATCTATTAAGAAAAATTTATAAATTTATAAAGTAATCACTAATCAACAAAAACTGGACAAAAAACATAAGGAACTGCTGTTTTGTTTTAAAAACTCATATTTGTATTCAATCCAAAAATATAAATTCATGAAAATAAAAAAATAAGTCAGAGAGAGAGAGAGAGAATTATGTAGTTTACTAATGGAGATTTTTTCTTGACAAAATAATGATAATAAAAATAAAGCAAGACAGAAAATTATTTATCCCTCAGATGAATTTTTTCGTTGTTTATTATTATTATATTTTTAATTTTTCCTATTCAAATGCAAATGTAAGAAGAGTTTAATGTAAATGTATTGCTTAATTTTATAGTTATCTCATTCTTTTTTTTTTTAGTTATTTCAATGTGTTTGTAATTTGTTTGATTCGTTTTACTTTAAAATTTCATATTGTTTTTCTGTTTAATAAAGTGCATGATATATGTAGGTATGTATACATTCACGAAAGTACTGTTCACCCATATGTATTATAGAAAAATATTATATGAAATATGTATGTACCTACTAATATGATGATATATACCGCGATTTATTATAAAATAAGAATATATACATGGGTTAGTGATTTGTATTTAAGAGTGTGTATAACTAGTTATTATATATTAAAAAAAAAAATTATTTATACATATAATATGTTATATTTTAATATATGTATGAATATATATAAAAAAATGGATATTTACATTATGTAGTATGTAAGTGTGTTTAAAAATACAATATAAAAATAAATGTCTACGTCGTGAATTTTTCGTTGCTTCTTTTTATTTTTGTTGTTTTTTTGCTTCCAGTTTTATATAAATATATGTATGAATTTAAGTATATATACATATATTATATACATTTTTCTTTATTTTTATTTTTGTTTTTTTATTTTTCTTATTATTATTTTATGATTCTTCTTTGCGTTTCATTTAACGCGCGTACATTGTGAGTTTCTAAAGTGAAAATTTTATATCTCTGTGATAAAAAATTTGAAAAAAATATTAAATTGTAAAATATATTAATAAAATATTTAAAATATTCAATAAAAGGTTATTTAAAATAATATTATTAAAAAAAAATTTAAAAAATATTAATAGATTCAAAAGAAGAAAAAAAATTTCATTTAAATGTGAAAAATTTCAGTGTTTTTTTTTTTTTTATATATGTATATACATCATATATATTATTATGTGGTATATATAAGATATATATGGCTTTTAATCATTTATTTTAAATTTTTTATAATATTTTTGTAATATTTAAGTAAAAACAATTTAATATTTTCAAAATATCTTCCCGTTTAAATTTCATTAAACAAAAAACTTGTTCCGAAAAAAAAAGAGTTCAATAACTAGCTTAAAGAAAAAAAAAATATAAGAAAAAAAAAAATTTATGAGAATTTTTTTTTAAATAATTTTATTTTTTATTTTTAAGTTATTAAAATAAATTTAATTTAAATACAAAAATTTTTTTGTTTTTGAAAATATAGAAAAATTTCCAATATTAAGTATATTTTTTTACTTATATATTTTCAAAAATATTACAAAATATATTATATACATATTTATAGTTATTCATACATATATGTTATACGAATATTTTTATATATTATACTTAAATGTGTGTATGTGAATACGTAAAATAATATGAATATACATATAAATGAGAATGTGTGTAGTATATATATAAATATATATATATATATATATATATAATTGTAAATGTAATTATATATATAATTGAAAATGTATATAGTTACAATTTAATTATATTATCTTATTGAAAAATTATATTATTGCACATTCATACATTGTAATTTTAATATTGCATATTAATCTATAAGGTACTTATATAAATAATAATATTAATAATAGTAAAAGTAATAACTTGAATATACATGTATACTAAATTTTTAATAAAAAAAATAAATATATAAATATATGTAAACTGATATTAATATTATTATATTCATATTTATGTTCGTTTCTCTACAATTTATATTTATGTATGTATAAATATAAAATATATTAACTTTGTGTATATTGTATGAACAAAAATATCCATACAAACATACTTATATATTATGCCCTTACTATCTTATATATAACTAAATATTATATATATTTTTTAAATTTATTTTTATGAAAAAAAAAGAAGAAAAAAAAAACTTACAAAAAAACAAACAACAATAATAAGAGAGACAGAACAGCAAAAAAAAAAGTAGTTATACAAGAAGAACCAGCAGCAACACAAAAAAAAAAAAAAATGCAAACAAAAAAAATAAAATAAAACCAACAACAACAACAACAATTCACAATATTGTATTTAAATTATATACAACATATGTATATATATATATTAATATAAATAATACATATGTAGTGTACATGTAGAGTGAAAAAAGAAAAAGAAGAAAAATAAATATAAATATTTTCAAATATGAATGTGTGTAAGAGTTTGTTTAGTAGTGAATGCCAATGAAAGTCCAATTTTAATATGGACAAGAAAAAAAAATAAAATTTCTTATACTTAAATTATAAAAACATTTTTTTTTAAACGAGAGAAAAAATATAAAACGTTTAGTTTAAAATAATATATGTATATAAATATATTATATATGTAAAAACTTAATAAAAACCAGAAAAAAAAAAACTATAAGTATTAATAAAAAGCAAAAATAATAACAACAACGTACAGCAGCAACAGCAACTAAAAAATTATAATATTAAACAAGAAAAAAATGAAAAGAGTTGTGTGTTAAAAAATTTTTAAGCAAAGTTTGAAATGAAAAATATTTTTCAAGATATTCAATTGAATTTTTTTTTGAAATGTGTAAAAATCAATTCAAAATTTTAAATGTTTAAAATATAAAAATCACTACAATTTAAAAATAAATAAAAAAAAAAATTATAATTAATATGCATATACATGCATGAATGTGTGTGTGTACGTGTGTTTGTATTTAATTATAAATTTATAAAAAAGTGTAAAATACTCTATATGTTATTTTAAAATTTTATAAATAATCAATTTAATAAATTAATATACATAAATATTCTCATTCAATATGCTTATATATTCAAAATTTAAAAGGTAAATATTATATATATATACAAACAAACAAACAAACATAAATATTTAATTAGCATATTATCATTATTACATTATAAAATGCATACGTATAGCAAAAAAAAAAAAAATTTAACAATAATTTTTATATACAAAATTATATATATATACATAAATTCATAGGTAGATAATGTACAATGAAAAAAAAACAAAAAAATTATATTTTTTCTCATAACCTTACTTTTTTTTCTTGCTCTTGTCCTACTACTTTTATAATCATTTATGATAATATTATGTACATAAAATATTGAAATTAATTATTCATTAAAAAAAAAAAAATGAAGCAAATTAATAAAAAATATTTAGTATCTGTGTTAATTAAAGCAAAAAAAAAAAAATTTATATAAAATTTTCTCTCAAAATTAATTAAATTAATAAGTATGTATTATTATTTTCTATAAGTAGATAATTTTAATTTAGAATGTAGGTTGCCAATTATTGCCGACATGATATTATTCTCTTTATTTTTTTTTATTAATAATAAAATATTGTACTCAAAAAAATGACATGCCAGGTATTTAGGTACATACAGAATAAAATATAGGGTAACAAAAATAAAAAATAAAATAACAAAAAAAAAAAAAACTCTTTAATAAAAGAAATTTTTTCTATTTTTATTTAAAAATAAAAAAAAAAAAATTCAATTTAGGTTAAGTTTCGAAATTTTGACAATAATAATATTTTTTTTTTCCCTCACATTTTATTATGACATTTTCCTATGATTATTATTAAGTATAAATTTTAGCTGTTTTAAGATTAGAATTAAATAAAATTTACACAATTTTAAAATAATTATTAATTAAATTAAGTTGGTAGTATACTTACGATAAATAATATCTCAAATATTTGATTCATAAGAAATTTTTACATTTTATTTTAATTACAAGAGAATTCGAACGAAAAAAAAATATTATGAATAAATCAGAAAAACAACAACAACAATAAAAAAATATGAATATAGTATGAAAATTTCTAGGCAACTTTATCATTTAAAATTTTGTAGCGTGGCTTTTTATATAACATGTATATAAGTATATGTTTATCTGTATGTAGATTGTATATCAAAGATATTATTATGTAAGAGAGTCAAATGACATAGTAAAAATTTTATTTTTTATTATTATTATTTCAATATTTTAGTTATTCTTTATTTTGTTTTTAGTTTTTACACGATTTAATTTTTAAAAAAAAATTTTTTTTACTATAATATTTTGTTGGAATTGTGCCTATTTTTAATTTTTATATTTTCAAATTCTTAAATTTTAGTTGTATGTAATTTATTGGTTTTCTTGCAATGTATATAATATAAAGAATAATTATTATATTTATTATATTTGAATAACTCACCATTATTGTCTGAAATTGGAAAAAAAAAAATATTTAGTGATAATTATTGTGCACTTTGCGTTATTTTTGAATAACTCACCAATATAACCTATAAATTTGAACCTTGCGTTGTATTTGAATAATTCGCCATTATTATCTATAATTTGCAAAAAAAAAATATTTAGTGATAATTATTGTACCTTGCGTGTACACAAAATATAAAGTGAATGATAGTACCCGCATACCAACTTGCATATTCAAAAATAATTTGGAATTTATTTATTTTAATTTATTTTAAGTTTTTAAATTAACATTTTCAAATAACTATTTTTGAATTGAATGTGAATTAATTTTATTTTAAAAAATTTAGGTAAATGTTTAAAAACAACATTTTTTTTTGTGTAACATTTAACTTTATTAAATGTTACATAAATAACCCTTATGTATTTATTTCCATTATATTGGAATTTTCATCATAGTGTGCCTACTAGCTGTTGTCTGCTGCTTTCATATTATTTTTTTATTTCTTTGTGCAAACCTATCATATTAATATTAAATTTTTTCTTTATTTTTTTTTTTTCGAATCAAGTTTTATTGTATTTTTCTCTCCTTTGAAGTTGTCTCTTATGTTATGATATACATAACATAAGTATATTATTATGTTGGGTGCATATTTGCTATATTATCATGTCTGGTATCCATACTATCCTACCAACTACTGTTGATCATGGTTTTTTTTTTTAAATACATAATCCTATATAATGTATAGGATATTATAAAATTTAATTTTTATATTTTTTTTAAATTGTTAATTTTAATCTATTATATTATTACTGTTTCTCCTCATTCTGCATATTTAGATACATATTGAGTTCGTAGATATTCCATTGGTCTTATAATGTTGCGATGATGCTCTGGTAAAATTGTTTTACTACCGATTTCGATTTAAAAAGAAAATTATTTAATATTATAAAAAAAAATTTAGAAGATATTTTTCTAAGTCTATATTAACATACATAATACATATATGTATATTTAATTTTATCCGAAAACTAAAATTATTTTATTGTACACTTACATAGTATGTAACAATGTATATATACGAGTACATGTTTAGTATACATACTGAAGTACTTAAATGCATTTATTTACAAGAAAATTTGATACTTACTTATATGTATGCAATAGTGTGCATTTATGCAACTAGGTAAATTTTTTATTATTTTTTTTTTTAAAGATTTTTTTTAAAGCCATTCCAATAAAAAAAAAAAGACTGTTCTTCTGTTATTTTTATATTTTTTACTTTCTATATATTTGCAGTAAATTGAATGTGTAGAACTAAAAATGTATATAATATGTAGATTTATATGTACATATACATATGTACTCTTATTGCATAGTGCTCATGTCCTGACTTTTCTTTTTTTTTAAACATATTTTATTACTATTTTTTTTTTTTTTACCAGAAATGCTGATATTTTTAAGAATATACATAAGAATGTATGTATGTATGCATAATATTCGAAATATTTTAACTATATTTTTTAATTTCTTAATGGCATATATGTATTATATATGTATACGAGTATATAGGTATGTATATTATGATTATTCTATAGTATATTTTCTAGTATATTTTATTTAAATCTTTTTATGTTTCTTTCTATAAGAGTTCAAACATAAAAATCTGTTTTATATAAATAGGTATGTTTATGTATGTTAGTATGTATGTAAATACAAAAATACCACTCAAATGTTTATATACTTATGTATATGCTTCAATATAGAATAAATCCAAAATATATCAATAATTTAGTGTAGTATATTATATGTAAATATTTCCCTTTTTTGTTAATATATGTATGTACATATAATATATTTAAAAGTAGGTATATACCTACATATATTTAAATATAATTTGTGTGTTATTTTATATATATTAAAAGAAAAAGAAGAAAAAAAATTAAAATATATAATTAAGAAAAAATTGTTTTTTTTTTCTTCTATGGAAAAGGTGTAAGTAGGTATAGAAAAATATTTGTTTTTATTATTTTCCTTATACTATTATATTTATTTTTACATTTACATTCTAAAAGGTAAATTTTTCCTTTTGATTTATTTGTGCATACGTATATGTATGGCTATATGCACATATGTACAAGTGTATGTACATATTATGATTTAAGGATATTTATGTTTTTCTTTTGATTTTCTTTAAAGAAAATAATTTTCAGTAATTCTTACATATATTTTTTTTTCGACTTTTTTTTTTTATTCTATTCTAATATATTTTCTGTTATATTGTGAAAGTACAGTCAAAAAAATATGAAAATAACATACATACATATAAATATAAGTATATACATACATCCATATAATTAACAAGTAATTATACATACAAGAAATTGCATTTTTCATACCCATATAGAATAAATTTATTAGCAAATATAATAAGAATCTATTCTATAGAAAATTCTTTAGTGTTTAATGTAAAATTTTTGAATTTTTATCAATATTTTTATGGATTCGTCCGCCTTTTTTTAATAGTTTTTAAAATCCAACCTTTATAAAAATCATACTAAGTCATATGTTTTCATGAATAATTTTGGAAAAAAAAAAATTTATAATACCAAACGTATTTTAGAATACTGAAATTATATTGAAAAGTAGCTACTTATCAAAATTTTCTAAATTAACGCTAATAGTTTATATTGCTATTAAGAAAACAATTTTTATAATTAATCAATAATCAAGTGGCGCTAATGAGTATTAAGTTTTTTATTTTAAAACAACGTCACTAGAAATTTAGATTCTAGAAGTGAATTTCTAGAGATTTAGTATATTCAGGTATATGTAGTACAAAAATTTTCTTTATACAATGTTGGTAGAAATTCATAAAGTTTTTGACTTATAATATGCAATTTGTCTTTCAATAAATAAATAAAATTACATTTAGTTACTTCAAGTCAAGAAATTAGTTACAAAACGAAAATGATTTTTGTCAACGGAAAATCTAATATTAATATTTAATTGACATTAAATTTTAAATTTCGACTACAGCAAAAATTTCACATGTGTTTACGAATATACATTACATAGATACTTAGGTTTACTAAACAAAATGACAAACTGTTGATCTGTTATTCTGGCCACACGATAATTCAATGCTTTTTCTTTTTTAAATTCAGTTTATTTTATTTCAAACCTAATTGAATTTCGGGATTCTAATACTCTATTCCATTTGCATATTCTATGTTATCTAGTATTACAAAGTCTTATATGAATAATTCAATGGTTTAAATAGCATATGTTACAAGTTTTCAGTATCAAATCTGTGGTGTATCTAGACACTCCAAACACATATTCATGTTATTATAACTGTTGTGGCTGTATATGTAGATTTAGTTTAGTATTCGAAATACAAATTGGCGTTGTGTAGTGTATAACTATTTACTAAGTATAATTTCTCTGTCATCGCATACCTTTATTTTTAATATAACATTTTAATTAAATATATTTATTTACATACATATAGTATTATATAATAGATATAAACTCATTTTATAACATAAAGTGATTTGTACGTACTCACACACAGTTATATAAAATAAAATAAAGCAAAAAAATTTAAATTAGTC